GAATATTTCCCTCAGAGTCCGGAGCTCTTCCTGGGGGCTTGGGCCAGAGATTTAACTTCTTACAGTTCAAAGGACTTCATTTCCCAGAAACCCTTTTTCTGTAAGGTCAGTTGAATGAACCAGTGTCCCGTTTCAGGACTTAATGCCTGGAGGAAAAACCTGCGACTCCTTACGAAGAATAACACGGGTTTGAAACTTCCACATTTTGCCCAAAAGAAATGTGGAAGATGCTTTACAAGAAGACGACCTCAAGGGCCTGTTTCTTGAAATGAAGACTTCTAAATAAGACATTTAAAGAAGAATCAGACATTTTGGGAAATCGTCCCAAGGGTCAGAAGGGGAGGTTGTACAGAGAGAGTAGCACAACTTCTGCAAGCTAAGGGGCAATTGCTATCCGAGCTTCAACAAAAGAGAAAACCTTTGAGCTACAACTAACAATTATTTGTATTGGCAATTTCTCTATCAGTTATTCATTTTTTATTAGATGTCATGAAACGGAGGGTTTCCTAAAGCCCATAATGACATCCTCAAATGTTTTATTTTGTCCACAAATCCCAAAAATATCTGTCATAGGGAAAATATATTTACATTTTAGAAGTTAGATTGATTCATCGATTAACTAAAAAGTTGGCGATTTATTTAATAATAATGAACAACTCTTCAGCCTATCGAATGATCAGCCCAGCTCCACACTTAACATCTCCAAGTCTGATTTGCACGTTGTGTCTTGTTAGCCATAAGCTAGTCACCAATCTATCCAAATGTCCTCCAACTGTTAGCCAGCTGGACCAAGATGCTAACTGGTCTGGAAGCTAATTCAATTAATTGCTTTATCTCAAAGTTAAAAAAAATTAGGATTCGTCACAGCTATCCAGTAATTACTGCTTTGGCAGGCAGCTTGTTCAAGACAAAAATAAACTTCACTTCATTTCAATCCTTAGATTTACAAAGTCAACAATGTGTTTAGCCTAGCTCGACCTCAGAAAGGATCCACTTTCCAACAACTCCAAATCTGTCTGATTTACATTTAGTATCTAACAAGCTGGTTCATTAAAGAGTCATTTTGGTTTATTAGAGCCCTGATTTGAAGGTGACATTAAGCTATCGCTAAGGTAACAGACCTGAAAGCTAACTGTAACTACCGTAATTTTCGGACTATAAACCGCGCCTTTTTCCCTATTTTTCGACGCTGCGGTTTATATAACGGTGCGGCTAATCTATGGATTTTTACAGCTAACGGCCAACACCTTTAACTCTATGGGCTCTATGGCCGGTCCGCGGACCCCCACCTTTAAGCGGCGGGTTCCAGCAGGAAAAGCTGGAGGCCGGAAAAGAGTGAGACAGGTAGCGCGCAAAAGTAAAAGTGGAACCGAGAGTGGTATGCCGCTGCTGCGGCTTATATTCAGGTGCGGCTTATAGTCCGAAAATTACGGTAAACGTAATGATATCCAAAGCATAGACCCAATTGTCCAGTATTTATTGAGGTCAAACCCTCTGCTAACCCATCAGCTTACCGAGGGTTTGACCTCAATAAATACTGGACAATTGGGTCTATGCTTTGGATATCATTACGTTTACCGTAATTTTCGGACTATNTAAAGAGTCCTCTCCTGCTGATGTTCAGGTGTATATCAGTATGTAGTGTCTCTACTTTAAAGAGTCCTCTCCTGCTGATGTTCAGGTGTATATCAGTATGTAGTGTCTCTACTTTAAAGAGTCCTCTCCTGCTGATGTTCAGGTGTATATCAGTATGTAGTGTCTCTACTTTAAAGAGTCCTCTCCTGCTGATGTTCAGGTGTATATCAGTATGTAGTGTCTCTACTTTAAAGAGTCCTCTCCTGCTGATGTTCAGGTGTATATAAGTATGTAGTGTCTCTGCTTTAAGATCATGTACAATGTGTCGGAGCACTAGCCAATAGGAGCGTGAGTTTTCCGTAGTGATGTCACTGTGTTCACGGAAGTAAAATAAGATTTATATATATTTTTTAAAACAGTTTTGGACGCCTCCATAGAAGTTGTGTCCCACAGTATGATCAGAGTTGGTCACCTGACCCTCCGTCTGCACCAAGCCCCCAGGAAGTGCTCAGGACTCTGAGGAAAATGTTCCTAGTGTCCAAACGGCGTTACTTCAACTTCCGTATCAGTCCGAATCGGGGCTAAATGACAGGAGGCGGGGCTTAATGACAGGAGGCGGGGCTTAAGGGGAAATTCAACTCTGCTCTATGAGTTACATACGGGTACTTCTGCTCTCACAGCAAGGCATGATGGGTAATCTGTGACGTTTTGCTCTTGAGAACTTCAGGCCATTTTGTCCTCATGAGCCAATGAGCAGCTCTCATGGGAAAGAACAGGCTGTATCCTGTTCTTATTAAAGATCCATGGTGTGTACGCTGTGTGCAGGTGGAGGCCCAGATTTCGGACGCGGTGTCCCGGGGGGCGAAGGTTCTGCGGGGGGGGAAGCGTCTGGACGGCTCCTTCGTGCAGCCCACGCTCCTCACTGACGTCTCCACAGACATGATCTGCACCCGGGAGGAGACCTTCGGCCCGCTGCTGCCCGTCATCAGGTCTGAAACACTTTTCATTTTAGCTTTGAAACAACATTTATCTTTTAGGAAAATGTTAAACTTGAGGCTAATTTTTCTATTTTTTTATTCAATTTTTCTCAGGCAGAAAACCATGTTTCAGGGCTTTTTGCTATATTGTGTATTATTTAGATACTCTTTTATTATATGTCCTTCTTTTGTGAATTTGTTTATACTTGCTGCTAATGTTAATTATTATTTTTGTATCTTTTTTAAATAAATGTACTCGAGTAATGCTTGACAACACGCTGCTGGAACAAAATCATGTCCCAATTTGGGAACAGTAAAGTTTCTATCTATTTCCAAAAACCAACAACTATAATACACCTGCTATGGATGTTTATCATCTAGGTAGCACTTTATAAAAACAAGAAATAAATCAACACTAAAGATGTTTGTGGTTTCCAGGTTTGACACAGAGGAGGAAGCTCTGGCCATCGCTAACGCTTCTAATGTCGGGCTGGCAGGTGAGTTGCCTTCTTATAAAAAAGAGTCAGATTTCTACTTCTACTTGTCATCAAATTGAACCCTGAAATGTAGAGTAGGGTCTCCAGAACATAGAAACTGCCGGATGCTAACATGCATGCTGGGACATTAGCACAACATTACGTTAATTAGGATTATAGCCATGTAAACAATTGTAAAAAAAAAAAAAATGGCTTTGCCGATTTGGACAGTTCTGGAGTGGTTTTGGGGGTTAGTGAGGAAGCTGAATCCATTTCTGACATTTCCAGGATCAACAATGACAGATTTAACCAGAAAGTGGTCATATCTGTTCTCTCTGTGGACTGGTTCTGACTACCATGAGTAGAGTTGGACCATTGGACATGGAGAGCACAAGATGAACATTATTATCTCTACTGTGGACACAATTATCTTTCAATTAAATAAGCAATCTGTCCAATCCAGATCATCCAGAGTCCCCTAAATCTCCCAAATCGACCCTAAATTAATCAAAAATCAGTCCACAGAGACAGATATGTCAAGTTTCTGGTTTAAAACTGACATTTTGAATCTTGATAAATGTCAGAAATGGACTCGGCATCAATACATCTCAATAACCCCCAAAACTCAGCCAACCCATTTCATCGTCTGCATAGGATATACTGCTAATTGATGCTAATTAACGCAACCTTGCTAATTATACAAATTGTCCAACATCTGCAGGTTAGCATCCGACAGTTTCTATCGTTAAACTTTGTGGTATCAACATTGCAGGGTTCACAACAGGACTCCTGCCTGAAATCAATCAACAACTTTATTAATCCTGCAAGGAGCAATTGGTTATGAGCAGCTTGTGTGCACAGGCAGGAACACACAGGAAGAAAGCACACAGATACACCCCTGTAGATCATTCCGATTTACACTATAATGCTGTGATGTTCCTGTCCCCAGGGTACTTCTTCTCGCAGGACGTGAGTCAGATCTGGCGCGTGGCGGAGGCGTTGGAGGTGGGGATGGTGGGAGTGAACGAAGGCCTCCTGTCCACCCCGGAGGCCACGTTCGGGGGGGTCAAACAGTCCGGGTTGGGCCGCGAAGGCTCCAAATACGGCGTGGACGAGTATCTGGAGGTCAAGTACATGTGCTTCGGAGGCCTCAAGCTCTGAAGGGAGGCAGCAGGGAAATACAATCAAAGTATAAGTGCAGTAAGGTCATACCTGTAGATCTCAGGTTCTTAAATTAACTTAACGTACCTATGACCAATACATCTAAAATAACCCCTTTTTAAATTTGAGCTTCTTGACTACCTTTTTAAGAACTTGAAGTAAATAATTATGTGTTCACTAATCGGAAAATAGCTCGTTAGGAAAGGAACGTTTTTTGTCTTTCGGGCAGCGATTTGATTTCGTCAGCTATATTGATTTCCTAGGTTTTAGTCTTTCTGATTCAAATCACAAAAAAGTCACTCAAATCAGTTTTTTGAAAAGCAAAACATGTTTTTACAACCTGTATGCTGACCTTGAGATATGCAGTCTACCGTTACATCCCGTGACCTGAGGGGAATACTCTCCTCTGATTGGCTAGAGTTGCTGCCTCTGTAAATCTTTCCAGTTTAGCCCAGATTACAATAACTAACGGATTTACCATTAACTTTCAAAGAGTGGTCAAAAGCAGTTTTCGATCTGTTGGCTGAACAAGAGATTAATAAGTTAGTGGTAAACTCCGTCTACAGCCAACGTGAAGTATGTCGTTTTACAAAAAAGGCTACATGGATAATATAAAGAATGAAAGGAGCAGCTTTTGTATTGTTGTTAAAGCTAGTTAGCTCTACACAGACATCGTAAAGACCACTTCAGATGGTTAGTAAACATAAAACAAGATACTTTGAGAAGTGAGATGTATAGTATGCTTTATTATCATTTTCAAAAGAGAAAAACATTTGAACATGAAGGAAAAACTCATTAAAATAAAGTCATTTAAGAGCGGGACAGACGTGCTAACGTTAGCGTAACCTCTGATATCTCTCTCATCATCCAGCACCTGAGTGGATAAAGTGTATATATATATATATATAATATGACCTGTGACACAACAATGCAGTTAATGCTGATAACTATCCCTGTAAGACGGGTGGCTGCTGTTCAGTAATGAGCTAGTTAGCGTTAGCAGCTTACATGAGAGCAGAGAAATCAGACTGTTGCTGAGGACATCACAAATACTAAACTCTACCCAATCAGAATCCAGTATTTTCTGACGATGAAGCAAATGTTGGTAGTGGCCGAACGTTTGTTTCATTATTTACAACTCCGGATTGAGTACAAAAACCTCCTCAAACCCACCTGTTCGGACCAGCCCCCTGTCGTGCTACGTGTCCCGCATCGCTGTCCTGTTGTACCGTTTTTAAGAATACTCTCCGAATGGTAAGGTGTCCTTGGGTGCTTTTGTGAGGCGCCTCTAAATAAAGTGTATTTTAGTATGTGTGACATCCATATTTTTCCATTCAGAAATATCTCAATAACCAATTGGAAGATGACATGGTAACAAAGGCAATAACAATAACTCAGATTTGATGGTGAGGAGGGACACAAGTGGAGGGTCTCAGTAGCACAAAGGTCTTTGTTTAAAAGCTGCACACTGGGCCGTGGTGGAAAAGGGAGATTTACTGTGATTAAATAAATGAAAACCGTAAGCTAGATATTTCTCGTTTCTTCATGATTAAATTACTTTTGTATGCTGACATTATGCTGACGGATACATGGTATGTGTGTATTAGTGTGTATAAATCATTAGCAAGATTCTGAAGTCCTTAAAACATTGTAATAATATCTGTTTGACCTTAGGGTTTCTAAAACATGTTCAAAAGTACAATAGCCGCTTTCACACCAAGTACTTTTCCCAGCAATAGTTCCCGGAACTCTTTAATTCCTGAACTATCTAGTAGATCGCGTTCACACTGGAATAAGTCCCTGAGGGAGGATTACGCAAACGAAGCCGCTGACGTCACTTCTTCTTCTTCTGCTTTGGGTATACTGGCAGGCCGCAAACAACTTCACGGCGTATTCTGCCACCCAGAGGCTCCGGGACTTCGGGTGGCAGTAAATCGCCAGAATGCAGACACCTCATCTCCACCGCTCCATAAGTTAGTCTCTCTTCGTTGGTGCGCTAGGCTAATGCTAATGCAAGCAAATAAAATGGCGGCTTCACAAACACTTTTCTGAGTTTTACGGGGCGTGGTTTGCAATTCGCCCAGCCAATCAGAAATTGGAACCTTTTCTTCCCAGGAAAGTACCACCTCTCTGGCAAGGACTAAAAAGGGGGGGAAAAGGTTCCCGAAAAAAGTTCCAGATCTTTTTGGTGTGAACGCGACATCCCAGGAACTATCGGAACTATTCCTGGGAAAAGTACTCCGGTGTGAAAGCGCCTATCAGGATAATCCTTTATTGATCCGGGGACATTTGCAAATAAATGAATGACTTTAAAAGTGGAAAACATGACCCTAAGGTTTGTTAGGCATGCGTCTAGTTTTTCAGAATAAGTACATGTTAGCATCTCTCTCTCTGTGATGTAATGACTATTGCAGTTTCATAAAAACCTTGTAACCTTGGGTGATGTTGTTCGGAAGGTTTTGTCACCCCCAATTATGGTTCCCAAAGTGCCATGTAACTGACTCTTTGTAATTAGTTGTACGGATCTCGCCTTTGTTGTGATTAAATATTGCTCTAATAATGTCATTGTTATATTTAATGTAAAAATATAAATTTTTGTATTTCTGACTTTAGATGAGTGAAATATTAAAAGAGGAAATTGTTATATTACATGTTGTCGTGTTTTTTTTTTTTAATGATATGTAACCAGATTATAACTTTTTGCCCAAATTATTTTCGAAAGAAGAAAAAAAAATACCCTTAATCCTTAATGGTCCCACAGAGGGGAAATGTACATTCTGCATTTTACCCATCCTAGTGTTAGTTAATGAAACGAAAGCCACTAATCCGTTCCAGTGTTTTCCCTACTGTATATTACTGTGTCCGCCGTTAACTGCTGCCGTAAATCAATGAATGACGAAAGTGTCAGTGGTTAGTTCAAGTCAGTAATCATACATACAGTCTGAGGGATGTTTTTATAAACTTCTCAGGTTAGATTAACAGAACAAGTGAAGTGAAAACAAAGTTGTGTGTAGCCTACAGGTTATAAACTCGGCTCAGTAAAGCACATGCTGAAAACGGATTCTGTGTCAAGATAGTCTGCTCCTCCTCTATCAACCATCTGTACATCAGATTACTCCACTGCTATGGAGGTCATCTGCTATTAGCTTGTTTACCATCCATTTTGTAATCCAACGTTTTGTTACTAAGCAACACTAAACAAGCAACAAAGAACAGGATTGAACAGCATTCACATTTGCACAACTCCAAAACGGATGTACATGTTGTAACTAGTAAGCTAACAAGCTAGCCACTGTCTGCCAGGCTAGCAGTTTCACCCTGCATCTCGGTTTTGTGCTAAGCTAGGCTAACTGGGTCCTGAACTGGCAACACAGTCTCACGGCATTTCGTGTTATCACAAAATTAATCTATTGATTCGTGTTCACCAACACGATTCCGCCATTTTTTTTCGTGTCACACAACGATTTTAAAAGCAATGTAAATAATAACCAATTAGAAGGAAAACAGATTAAAAAATAAATAAAGATTTCAGTATTCTGACACAGAACGATTTTAGAAGCAATGTATTGGTAGTATGTTTCGTGCCTGCACCAAATAACAAATTAGAAGGAAATAAAAAATGACAAATACAGGTTTCAGTATTCTGAGGCTCTGAGCCATTTATTTTCCTCACAGACGGCAAAAAAACTCTGACATTATACAATTTAAAATAAAAGGGATAGGCTTAGGGTTAGATATTGAGTAAGAAAATGTTTTTATGAACCACACAGCTTCCGGTCTTCCAAGACCCGACCGGACAAAAAGACGTGGTGCAGGCACGAAACACATACCAATAGAAATACATTGCTTTTAAAATCGTTCTGTGTGACAAGAAAAAAATGCGAAAATCGTGATGGTGAACACGAATCAATAGATTAAATTAATTTCGTGACTATAACACGAAATGCCGTGTTTATATAAAGAAATAGGATTAGTTTAGATTTGAAGTTTATAAACTCAGATTTAGCTTTTTGGCATTTCTTATAGGCTACTTAAATTCTACGTCCCCTTAGCTCAAATTAATTGTGGAGGTTCAGCTCTCTTTGGGTTCACTAATCACTAGCATAGTTAAGATCGAGTTAGCTTAAAGTTGGCTCATAGATGATGATTGCTGGTTCTCTCATTAGGCAATCTACTCTTGGATAAACTTTCTTGTTGGCTAGCAAGAAACAACATGTCAATCAGAAAGGTGAGTTGGTGGAAGGTGGGTAATTTCTGTTTGGAAGTGCGTGGCTAGCAGTTTTCTTCCTGCTAAATTAGGCTACACATGTTCATTATGACAATACCATGAAGTACCCATTGTTTTGTGTGTTTGGTAAGCTGATGGGTTAGCAGAGGGTTTGACCTCAATAAATACTGGACAATGTGTCTATGCTTTGGATATCATTACGTTTAGTTACAGTTAGCTTTCAGGTCTGTTACCTTAGAGCAGTGGTTCTCAAAGTGGGG